ACTATATAAAGGATTCTTCATCATTTTTTTTTTTTGTTTAAGATTCATTCATCATTCGTAAGAATGAAGCAAATACTTGTTGTGTTCTATTGTCTGAAGAAATGTAGACGACATTTGGAAAACAAATATGAAACGGTGACGTGGGATGAGGTAGGTCTTATGGAAGCAAATATGAAATAGTATAAATTAGTTTGCTTGTATGTGGAAGTGGTCGCACATGTGTATGTATATGTGATCTTTAAATAATTGATATATAAAGGTATTACACATACATATGTAGTTTATATATAAGCAGAAGAAATAAGTAAGCATCACTTTGTGGTCACACGCATGGGTTGTCTCTGGTCCCTTTGCTATTCACTTTTTTTTTCTCACATTTGTGGCCATTTGTAGCCTTCTTATGTCACACCCCTTTACATATGTATTATATACACACATATATGAGTGTGTTTGCACTTTCTTAATATTTTAAGGTTTTTTTAAAGTGAATATAAATTCTTTAATGGAAAAAAATTGGGTTCCGATTTGTGAACATTATCCCGGGCGGTGGGTGCTCTTTAGGGCTTTGATCATCATGACGCCATGCTTACTCCTTTAATTTCTTTACGTCTTGAGAATATTCCTCAATAGAGTTACATATCACAAATATTAACACTTTGCACTGAAAATAAGATTCATTTTAAATAGTCAAGTGAGCTCGTACTGTATATCTCAACAGATAATTTAGTCTACAGTATATTTAGAGCTTTCGACGAACTTGTAAATATATATTCCCTCCGTTTCAAATTAGTTGTCGTTTTGGCAAAATATATCTGCAAATATTTGGACGTATCTAGACATGTTTTGCATTGCAGATATATCTAAATAATTACAGATACGTTTTCCCAAAACGATAATTAATTTGAAACGGAGGAAGTACTTTATATGATCAAAACCAAAACGCAATATATACTATTATCCGTTGAAGACTTTTGTAATTTGGCCGGTGTCTTGTCGTATATCTTGCTAAAGAAACTAATTCTGTATAACATCATTTTGGAAATCATGTATTTATTTAGTTGGTAATTTTCATCCCGATCGATTTCAGTTGTAGTTTGGATCGGGTTTTTCGATTCTTGGTTTACTATAACATCTATAGAATTATACTAAATTGCTGCATCCGTTTTAAAAACTCAATGTTAAGAAATGGATGCTTATCCATCAAATAATATTTTACTTAATCTTACTATGTAAGTTTACTTCACCGTCTTAAATTCACCGACTTAAGCTTTTGACAAATATTTTATTGTTTTCCTTGCACTATAAATACATGTACTTGGCATTTGTAAGAATATCCATAAGTTCAATAAGAACTAAAATCACTTCTTCTCACCACATAATATTCTCTCCTGCCTCTCCATAATAGAAAGTCTCTCTACCTCATCTCCCTCTCTCTTTGTAATCCTCTCTCTCTATCCTTCTTCTTTTATTAAATTCATCCACTATACATAATATATAGTGGTACATTTAGTTTCTTAATACGTTATCAGCACGAACTGCTCTTATATTCTGTCTATTCAATTTTATTGATATGCCGGGATGCTAGGTTGTACCTACTCCGAGCAAATGATCATATGGTAGACTATGTCACCTTAGATCATATAAGAGTTGATGGTAAAAACCTCCTCTTGGAGTTGAGACTTTGCCTCCTCCTGAATATTTACTTTTCTGTAATTTACTTTTTCGCTATTTACTTTTTGCCATTTAAATTTCTGCTATTTACTTTTTGCAATTTAAATTCAGCACCTTAATTTTTACTAAATTCATGCTGTTATAATGCTCAAATTTTTATTACGCAAATTTGAATTTAATTGAATTTAATTAATGAACTGTATATGATCTATGCAGATATCATGTCAAATTTGGCTAAGCTCGAAATTTCCGCCCTTGATATTTCTGGAAACAATTATATGACATGGGCAATAGGTGCAAAAATGCATCTAAAAGGAAATGGGCTTCTTGATGCCATTGACAAGTCGAAAGAGACATCCGATGAGAAAAAGGCGAAAGCCATGATCTTTTACTTCATCACATCCACGATGGTTTAAAAGATGAATACATCACTAAAGAAGATCCTGCGGATCTTTGGCAATCTTTGAAAGAAAGATTTGACCATCAAAAATATATAGATTTGCCCAAAGCCAAATACCAGTGGCTATACCTCCGGTTTCAGGACTATAAAAGTGTTGTTGAATATAATTCTGCTATGTTCAGAATAATTTCCAAATGGTGCTATGTGGAGAAAATGTGAGCGATTATGATATGATTGAAAAAACGCTCTCCACATTTCACCCTGGAAATATAGTCCTGCAACAACAATATCGGGCAAATGGCTATACTCGTTATTCAAAATTGATGGATGTTCTCCTTGTTGCAGAACAGAATAACGAGCTTGTGATGATGAACCATCAGACTCGTCCCACTGGAGCTGCTCCATTCCCAGAAGCGAATGTAGCATCGTCCAGCCAAAATAATGGACGAGGACGTGGACGTGGATACGGTCGAAACCGAGGTCGTGGCCGTGGCCGTGGACGTGGTCGGGGACAAGGAAAAGAGTACCGTCCCGACGAGTCCAACAATGAAAGGAATATAAAAGATCTCGAGCAAATGATTACGGCCGAGATTCTAAAAAGCAAAAAGAAAGTGTTTGCTACAGATGCGGCATGAAAAATCACTGGGAGCGTACTTGTCGTACACCCAGACACTTAGCCGATCTGTACCGGGAATCACAAAAAGCAAAGGAGAAAGAAAGTGAGACTAACTTCATCTCCAATGAACCCGGTCCTTCCTTTCACGGCCTAAACGATGATACTCATCTTGATGTTTCAGATTTTCTGGTTGACTCCGAAGAGATCAACGGAAAAACAGACGACTAAAAGGACATGATATACATAGTTATCTTCCTGAATAAGATAACCTAAAAGTTTGATCTTTTTGTTGTAAAATAGTTTTTAATGTGGTATTTTGTATCTTGTGATATAAGCTTTGTATTGTTTAATACTTATTAATGCATCTTTGTTAAATCCAGAAATGACGAAATTTGAGACTCGTGATGGAGATATGTGTCTTGCAGACAGTGCTACAACGCACACAATACTCAAAGATAAAAGATATTTCTCCGGTCTCAAAATTAAAGATTCCGTTGAAAGCGTGAATACCATTTCTGGTGGTGCAAAAATAATATTGGGCTCTGGAAGAGCCAATTTTTCAATGCCAAGGGGAACAAAGTTTGAAATAAATGATGCATTATATTCCCCGAAGTCTTACAGAAACTTATTAGTTTCAAAGATATCCGTAAAAATGGATATCACATAGAGACTATAAATAAGAATGGCATTGAAATCCTTTGCATCAAATCGGAGGGACAAATATTGGAAGAATTGAAAATGATGTCCTCCGGATTATATTGCACAAATATTACTCTGACTGAATCATATGTTACAGTAAACCCGAAGTTTACTAGTACATTCAAAATCTGGCATGAAAGGCTAGGGCATCCAGGTTCAGTCATGATGAGAAAAATTGTGCAAAACTCAAATGGCCATCCGTTGAAATACGGGAAAATTTTAGAAACGGGCGAGTTCATATGTAATGCATGTTCTCAAGGAAAACTCATAACTCGGCCATCACCAGCGAAAGTTGGGAATGAATCCCTGTGTTCTTAGAGAGAATACACGGTGATATATGTGGGCCTATTCACCCACCATGCGGACCGTTTCAATACTTTATGGTATTAATTGACGCATCAAGTAGATGGTCACATGTGTGTCTTTTGACAACACGAAATACGGCTTTCGCAAGATTCATTGCCCAAATAATCAGGTTGAGAGCACAGTTCCCTGATTATACTATTAAGAAAGTGAGATTAGATAACGCTGGTGAATTCACTTCACAGCCTTTAATGACTATTGCATGTCATTGGGAATCGATGTTGAGCATCCGGTTCCACATGTCCATACACAAAATGGCATGGCTGAGTCTTTGATTAAACGGTTGCAACTGATTGCAAGACCGTTAATAATGAGAACAAAACTCCCAATTTCTATATGGGGTCATGCTATTTTGCATGCTGCAGCGTTGCTCCAAATACGACCAAGTGCTTATAATATATATTCCCCATTGCAATTGGCATCTGGTCAGGAGCCAAACGTATCCCATCTCCGTGTTTTTGGTTGTGCGGTTTATGTTCCGATAGCACCGCCACAAAGAACAAAAATGGGGCCACAAAGGAGATTGGGAATATACGTTGGGTATACGTCACCGAGTATTATTCGGTATCTTGAACCTCAAACTGGTGATATGTTTACGGCACGTTTTGCCGATTGCCATTTTAATGAAGATGAATTTCCAGCGTTAGGGGGAGGAATTAAAGAGGTTCCAAAAGACCTCACATGGTGTACACCGAATTTGTTACACTTTGATCCCCCGACAAAACAACGCGAATTGGAAGTTCAGAAAATTATACATTTACAAAATATGGCAAATCAATTACCAGATTCGTTCACAGATACAAAAAGAGTGACGAAATCATATATACCCGCTGCAAACGTTCCATCAAAGATAGATGTTCTAAGGAACAAAATGATGGAAGCATAGCAAATGCACCCAAAGTCCAATTAAAGAGGGGGAGGCCGATGGGCTCTAAAGATAAAAATCCCCGAAAGAAAAAGAATTTGGGAGAAAGGTTCAAGAAGAACCTAGTAAAGAAATATGTCCTGAAGACATAAACAAACTGGTTTTTGAAGAACCAGAGAAAGAGATTCGTCCAGAAGACGAACATGATACAGAAAAATTTGAGATTTCCATCAACTTCGCCCAAAATGGAAAAGTATGGACAAGAAATGAAATAGAAGATGATGATGGAATATTCTCTTTTTCTGTATACAAAGAATTGATCATGAAAGTGATGATCCAGATCCAGAAACAATATCAGAGTGTCTCAAAAGACCTGATTGGGAGAAATGGAAAATGGCCATCCAAGTACTCCAATGGTTAATAGATCTCTTGATGTTGAAAAAGATCCATTTCGTCCTTGTGAGGAGAACGAGGAAGTGTTAGGTCCTGAAGTACCTTACATGAGCGCTATTGGTGGACTAATGTATCTTGCAAATTGCACTAGACCAGATATAGCATTCGCTACTAATCTGCTTGCAAGATATAGTTCGTCCCTTACGCGCAGACATTGAATGGAATAAAACATATTTTTCGTTATCTTCAAGGATCAATTGATTTAGGATTATTTTATCCTAAAAACTCAAAATGTGTTTTAGTTGGTTTTGCTGATGCAGATATCTATCAGATCCACACAAAGCTAGATCACAAACAGGTTATGTTTTCACAATTGGTGGAACCGCGGTCTCCTGGCGTTCGCAAAAGCAAACTTTGGTTGCAACGTCTTCAAATTATGCAGAAACTATTGCTCTCCATGAAGCTTGTAAGAGTGTGTGTGGCTCCGGTCTATGACTCATCACATATATGAATCAAGTGGAATAGTCACAGAAAAAGAGCCAACAAAAATATTTGAAGACAATTCTGCATGTGTCACACAACTCAAAGAAGGTTACATCAAGAGTGACAGAACGAAGCATATTCCTCCAAGATTTTTTTCGTACACTCAAGAACTCGAGAAAAACAAAGAAGTGGATATCGAGTATATTCGTTCAAGTGACAATGCAGCCGATCTTTTTACAAAGGCGCTTCCTACTACAGTGTTCAAGAAGCATGCTCACAGTATCGGAATGCGTCGTCTTCAAAACTTGTGAAAAGAAAAGATTCTATCTTTTCCAGGGGGAGGTTATGCTACGGTACTCTTTTTCCTAAGTCATAGTTTTTATCCTATTGGGTTTTTCTATGACATAGGTTTTTTAATGAGATCGTACATAATACATTGACGGATAATCAAGGGGGAGTGTTAAGAAATGGAAGCTTATCTATCAAATAATATTTTACTTAATCTTACTATGTAAGTTTACTTCACCGTCTTAAGTTCACCGACTTAAGCTTTTGACAAATATTTTATTGTTTTCCTTGCACTATAAATACGTGTACTTGGCATTTGTAAGAATCCATCCATAAGTTTAATAAGAACTAAAATCACTTCTTCTCACCACGTAATATTCTCTCCTGCCTCTCCATAATAGAAAGTCTCTCTACCTCATCTCCCTCTCTCTTTGTAATCCTCTCTCTACTGCAGCTTCTTCTTTTATTAAATACATACATCCACTATACATAATATATAGTGGTACAGTTTAGTTTCTTAATACTCAATTCATTTTTCGGATCAGATATTTTTTTCTGTTCGATGCGGATCGAATTGTTGCGATACAACTGAAAAACAAAATTACTATAGTTGCAAAATATTGAAAAGAAAGAAATTTCAAATTCACCCGCTTATAAAGCCTTTAAGAAGGATCATAGGCTTTATGGGGCCAATACGTCATTTGGGCCGATAAGTCATTTTGGGCCAATTAGTCAATTGTTTGTTAAATATTATCTCTATAGTATTTGTTTTTTTGTCGATATAGTTAGTTTACTATTTTCATTCTAACATTAAGTCATCAAATATGAAATTACATTTAATTTGAATTTGAAATCTAATTTGAGGATTTTTTTTTTGTTTTTCCCCCGTCATTCACGCCCCACGAAGTGAAACACTTAATTAATTGTATTTCTAAATCGATATTTATACAAACTCCAAAAATATTATTTTCGGTAACAGTGAACCGTCGTCACACAATCTCTCGTACTTCCAAGATGGAAAAAAAAAATAAGAAGTGAAAACGAACAAATAAAAATCTTCGAGCGAGTGAAACGGAAAATTCCGGTAAAAATCATCACGGCAAAGCGCAACCGCGACGAGAAAAACCCAGCCGTGATCTATCCCTATCGAATTCAAACAAGAACCCTTGCTGCATCAGATTCCCGATCACCGAGAATCCAACCTTAGGATTCACCGATTGTATTGCCAAACATTGGACCTGCTCCTCCGTCTCGATGAAGTAATTCCTCGGCGGCGGAACGAACACTGCACCGCCGGCGAATTCAAATTTCAGCCTCGGCATTATCTTTTCCGGCTTCGAAATGCCGGATACGTTAACGCATAAATCAAATCCCGAAGTCGGCTCTGCGGCCATAGGGAGCCGGATCCGTCGTCTCAAAGCCGCGATCAACAATCTGTACGCCGGATCAGCGAGAAACGCGAGGGTTGTACCGGAATCGACAACGGTTCCGCCGTTACCTGAACCGTCGATCTCCCAAATAGAACGATCGATTCGTAATTCGGCACCGTTAATGAAAACCGATCTCAATCGAACGTAATAAAAAGTCGGCGAGAGTGGATTGGTGAGCAACGGAGTGAAGGAAAGTTTTGAAACGGCGTTGGATCGATTTCCGCCGCCGCCGCCGATAATGAGGTAACTCGTCGGCGGTGGAGACAGAGTGTAATCCATTAAGCAGTAGGAAAACTTGTTACCAAAACGACGGCCTAACTGAGAAGCAAATGAAATGGGCCCACGGCCCAAGCCCATGACTCCATGAGCTCCATTAAAACTCGTACCCGATACACTTTGACCCGAGATCCGAAACCCGCATCCGAAAGCGACCCTCTTCAGATTCGCTTCTCTACCGGAGCTCGTCTTCAACGTCGTCGTTTCTCTAGCGAATAGACCGGAAGTTAATGAACCGTCCGCGTAAGCGTACTCGTAAGGACACGTGGAATGGATCCGGGTATGGTTACATTTCGGAGCCGGGTTCGGGTTGGGTACGAGTCTGCAAATCGGGTCGTAGCAGTGAGTGGGAGAGAATGTGGCGGAGTGACGGGGGAAGAAGACGGTGGCCGGAGAATGCTGAGAGCAGTTTCGGCAAGCGGAGCATTTGACCCAAACGAGATCGCTTCCGGTATCAGCGATAAGGAGTAGGGATTGAGGCGGCTGTCCGATTCGAAGATCCACGAAGTATTGACCCGACCCGGAAGAAGCGCCGGAGACTACCGGCGATTTGACGAAGGGTACGGTTTTCCGGCGGAGGGAGAGAAAATGGAGACGGCGAGTGTCTGAAGCCAGAGCTTGCGTGGGAGAAGGAAACGGAGATTTGCGTAGTAACGGAAGCTTTAGGTACTCGTCATCAGTCACGGCGGCGAGATATACCGGCGGGAGGAGGAAGAGAGAGAGGAAAGAGCAGAGGACGACGATAAGAGGGAACATTGAGAGACAGAGGGAGTGAGAGAGCGAGGAACAAAGTGTTTTCGTTATTTTTGTCTGTGTTTTTTAAGAGATGATGAATAAGAAGAGCGTATAAAAGTACGGTTTGTATTATTGTATATATACGGTTTTGTCAGTTTGTGGTCGAAATGTTAATACATTGCAACGTGAAGACTGAAAGATTTCTGTTTTTGTGGGCATCAAAATAAAGCTATGGCTTTTGTCTAGAAACTCTTAGCTGTCTAAATATGTTTTTGTTTTGTTTCTTTGCTCCTTTTCTTTCACTTTAGATTTTCAAAACATCAAAAGCAAATCTACTTTATTTTTCCTTTTTAATACTTGATGAATGTGACTAAAACAATGTGTTGATTTTTGTCTTTTTCAGTAATCCCAAAACGTTATTATCTATGGTTTGTTATCTATTGTAGTCTTTAGTCTTAGATCCGTGAATTTATTTCATTTATAACAGAGGGTCGGATGATAATAAATTATTATTATGAGACAATGACGAATTGTTGTTATACAATACAATAACAATTTTTTTTGTTAAAGACAATACAATACAATACAATAACAATAATAAATGTAGATCTTGTTTGGACGTGAGAAGTACTATACCCAAGAAATGGACCCTGTTTGTTAGGTGGTGGCAGAAGTTCTTCATTTCCTAACATAAAAACATGATAATTTTTTCTTGATATGATTACATAAAATAACAAAAGCTTGTTGTTATGTGCTGTAAATCTAGTGATTTTTGTACGTTACAAAATCATGGAGACAAGCTTTAACCCTTAAATAAATAATGTAAAACATTAAATAGTGAAGAAGATTCGGGCGATACTTTGCATGGTTGCACATGATATGAAGAAAAGAAACATGTGACTTTTAAGACAAACCACTCATTATTTTATCTTTTTGCAGTAGTTTGGGAGATTACAAAATTTATTGCGAATTTATTATCTCAAAAAAATATAGTAAATAAATAACAGAGAAAAACACTACTGTACTTTTTTACAAATAAACTATAAAATTCACTGTACTAAAAATCATTTTCAGTTTGACAAGTATGTGATACAGTGATACAGTGATACAAAGAGACATAGAAGAAAAAATGTAAAACAATAAACTCAGTTTACAGATTCTTCTTCATTGTCATTATTATTACTGTCTCCTCCAGTTTCAGTTTTGGCCCTGCTTCTAAGCTCTTCAAATGCTTTCATGCTCTCTGCATCAAATCCTCCAGCAAACTGCAAGCAACAACAAAAAAAGACATTTTCAGTTATTATATATCAAAACAACTCTTAACTTCTTGTTTGAATTGAGTGTTTGTTCCTTACCTGATGGACTCTAAAAGCGAAACGAACACCTTGGAGAAGCAAGAACTCTCTGTTAGGATCTTTATCAGATCCACTCACTGAATCAAGCTCATAAGCTACTCGTTTCATGTACTTCTTCGCCAGCTGGACCGAGGAAAGCTTGATCTGCGTTGTGATGAAAAAGAAACAGAACAAAAAACAGAGCATTTTCAAGATTGTTTTACAGAAACAAAGAAAAACAGAGTTTTCTTCAATCAAAACTCAAAAGAACAAACTTTTTTTACCTTTCCTACAACGCCAGAATCAGATAACCAATCAACTGGGATTCCGAATTCTTTATACCGTGAAATCGCCATGTCTCTTGTACGTAAAAGCGCGTAAACACTCTGTTCAACCCTGTGGAAAAAATAATCAAACATTTAAGTAAAGAAAGCTTTTTTTGTGAGATACTCTGTTTTTAGGGTTTTGATAACTTACTTCTCAAGCAACTTGTACATCTTCTTCAAAGCAGGTTCACAAGGAAGACTAGGATCATCGACAAAAGAAGTCACTTGCTTCTCCAGCTTCATGAGATCTTGATACTCAAAAGCTGCTTCTCTTAGCGCATCAGCTTTACCTTCTGGCCAATCAAAGTGTTTAAGCACCGCTCTTTCATCAACCTACTCAAGAAAAAACGTTCGATTACGTGAGTAACAAGAAACCGAAAATAGCGAATACGAAAGTAAATGTTTAAAAGGAAGGAAGTTAATAACCAAGAAGGAGAGCTCTTCATCAAGCCAGCTAACAAACGCCAAGAGATCTTCAACACTGGTGAAAGAAGCAGCTCTAACTTCAGTAGCTAACGACTGAACAAAGTCTCCTTGCGTCTCCACATCTGCTTTTACTGCTAAGAGGAACGTTGAACGGTTCTCGATTTCTCCAATCATATTGCTCCTAGCTTCAGACGAGTTACCAGTTCCTGAAGAGATCAAAGAAGGCGCACCATCTTTCTTCGCTTCACGTTTCATCAACGACTGATAAAACTCAACTAACTCAGGAGCTCTGTGAACTTTGCTCCCGCTCCCAGCTCCTCTTCCAAGTGCTCCAGGAGGAGGTGGCGGCGGCGGAGGTCCACCACCTGGAGCCCTAGGCGCACCTCCAGGCGGTGGAGGAGGCGGCGGTGGTCCACCGCCAGGTAAAGGAGGTCTTGGTGAAGGCAGAGTAGTACCTCCTCCGGATGATCTTGGAGGCGGACGAGGTACTCTTGGAGGTCGTTTCTCAATGTCTACAAGCTTCATTTTGGTCACAGCCTGAACGTTTTCAGTTGCTTTAACGTCGTTACCGTCGTTAGACTGATCACTTGTGGTCACAGTCATGGTCTTGGAGGGAACAGAAACTGACTTCTCCTTGAGCTGAGCAAGTTTAGGAGGCAAAGCAACATTACCTCCGAATCTCTCTGCTCTCGCTTGATCAGCTTTGTGCTTAATGTGCTTCTCTCTCTCAACCGCCAGCTTGTGCCTGTCTTTATACGCCGGATACTTCTCATCCAAAACGTTGTCAACAGATTTAGACATGACGTGAAACGACGACGCAACGGAGTTCAAAGCCTCACCAGGAGAAGAAGAAGGTTGTGTTTTGATTCTTGCAAGATTCGGAGTTTCAGGAGCTTCTTGATCAACTTGACCGAATGTTGTTATGGCTACTGACTCTCCTGCGTTTCTTATCATTAAAGACTCTAAAGGACCTCTCTGTTTGTTCATGCTGGAGCTAAGTCTCCCCGGTGATCCTCCATAGAAAGATCTTGAAGGCGATGACTGGACGCTCGAGTCGTCTTTGCTCTTGCCCCATCTCTTGAGTTTCTGCATCAGTCCCGGTTTCTTGCTGAAGCTGCTGAGTCTGCTAGTGGAGCTGTCCATTGACGTGTTGTCGAAGTCATCGCTTCCAGGAGATGAAGGCTGAGAGAAGTTGCTCTCCACGTCTGTATCTCCTTGGCCACGTTCTGAGCCAGCGTACTCTAGCATCAGCCGTTTGGCCTTCGCTTGAGACTTAGGGCTTAGGTTCTTGCTCAAGTCACGAGCTGAGATCTTACCGGCTGGTGTCTGGTAGTTTCTTAGCTCGTAACGTAAACAGGCATTGACCCAACGGAGGTAAACCAGTTCCTCAACTTCACTAAACCTGTTCATCTGAAGCCCTTCCACTTGCTTTAACAAATCCTCATTGCTGTGCTTCAGATTGTTAACTTCTTCTCTCACTTTCGCCACTTTATCACTCTACAAATATAAAAACTTTTAAGTTTAAATCTCAAGAAAGAAAGAGACTTTGATGCAAAGAGTGAAACTTTGAAGCTTCAATCTCAAGAAAGAAAGAGACTTTGATGCAAAGAGTGAAACTTTAAATTTTAAATCTCAAGAAAGAAAGAGACTTTGATGCAAAGAGTGAAACTTTGAAGTTTAAAATCTCAAGAAAGAATGAGACTTTGATGCAAAGAGTGATGATTAAACTTTTACCTCGGTCATGTTTGAGAGAGCTGAGATTCTTGCTTCAGCGGAATCGAGTTTGATCGTTAGCTCTCTCTTCTCATATTGAAGCTCTTTGTTTTTCCTCTTGAGCTCCATGACTTCCACCTCCAACTCCTGCACAGATTTCAACTTCCTCTCAACCTCTGTATCTTTATTCATGGCTTCCTCTTCTTTCATCTGAAGACTAGAGACGTGCTGCTTAAGCAACAGCAGCTGTCCTTTCGTCTGGTTAGCGTCCATCTGGATCTGCCTCTGCAGCTCCTTGATCTTGTTTCTCGCAACTTCAAGCTCTTTCCTCACAACACCGTTCTGAGAGATCTCTTCTTGAAGCTTCTTCCTCTCCGCTTGCAGAGAGTTGATAGTGATGTTCAACATATCTATCTCAACAGTCTTGATCTTGAGCTGTCTTTGCAACTCAACGATATCAGATTCTTGCTCTTTGAGTCCGTAGTACTCAAGCAACTCTCCTTCTAGCTTCACTTCTCTTTCTTCCAGCTCTTTGACTAACTGTCTCAGCCTCTCTAGCTCGCTGTCGTTATAAGCCATCTCGCTCTCGAATCTCCTCTCTTTCTCTGCTTTCTCCAAGGTGTTATCATCAATAGGCAGTGGATACTCAATCTCACCGGATAAAAGATCTTCAATCTCATCATCTAAATAGTCGGAGAAGCTTCCACGGCTCTGATTGATCACACTGTTGATCAGCTTCACTTCTTCTTCTTCTTCCTCCTCCTCTTCCACCTGAAAACATTAGCAAACTTGTCAAGAAACATTTCAAATCAAGCAAGAACTTTTCAAAAAAGTACACTTTACATTCTTATCATTGAGATTGTTGTTGGGATACACAGTCTCCTCTTTATCTTCTTCTCCTTCGCCATTTTCCAAGAGTAAGACTACAAAATGCAAGAAAACAAAGAAAAAGTCTGACTCTATATATGAAGCAGAATTGCAATTTGAATCCGGTTTAGAAGTTACCTGGCGGTTTGCTCGGTTTGGAGGGTTTACCGTTGAGCTGCTTAACAGCTAATGCTGCAATGGAAGCAGCAACAACAAACCCTACCCGGACAAACATATATTAGTATCTTGAAATGGGAATAAACTCCCTTCTCCGTCTCATCTACCTCCAAATTTTGTTTCCACTACTGATAATTTAACTCAATCCATTGTTCTTGCAAGAGAAAAACTTTATTCCAAATCCAGTTCATGAACCTTATAACATATGGATAAACATAATAGTTTCTGTAAGAGAAACTTCCAGATACTGACAAAAGTTTTAAACAACTATGTCCACCCAAGAAAAGAAGAAAAAAAGAAGACACTTATCATCACAAATTCGATCTTATCAGCTTTATGGACCTCTCAAGTCTCAAGTCTCTCATGCATATCAAAAAGCCAAAATTTTCAGCATTAAATTAAATTAAAACCACCAATAATAGTAGCTGTGTTTTTAGCTAAAGACAGATGAGGAAATAGACATGTATGGTCTAAAAGCCATGACCAAGAAACAATATACACATGTTTGTTAATGTCCTGAAAATTATCCTTTTATGTCCCATATTGGTCAGAGCAAAAGATAATCAGAATTCTGTCTCTTGTGTTAAAGTAATTTTACCAAACCAAGACGGTGAAGTAAAACATGAAGATGATAAGATTAGACATTTCATTGATTTATCTATCCATCAAGACCAATCTACTCAATGTAAGTGATCTCAACTTGGTAGGGTGATTCAAGAAAAATGTTTGGGTCCACTCCATAAATCTGATTTACACACACACACACACATACACACAACAAATGTGAGATTTAGATTATGTTGTGGTGTTTGGGGACCGGCATCAAGTAAGGTGTAACCAATTACTAGAAAACAGAGAGGTTGAGAATTAACTTTAATGTCAATTGTTATAGTTAAATGGTAGAGAAAAACTAAACCAAGAAAACCAAGAATGGCCTTTTCATGATCTTCTTAAATTCCTTTTCTAAGCCATAGATTTTCATATGTTTTTGCCTTTTTAGCCTTATCTAACAAAACTTCTGGGAAAAGAGAACAGAGAACAAGTTCTGAGTCTTACAAGATATGGTGTGGAAACTCATAGTAGACCTTCACTGGATTCTGACTTTTTTTTTACACTAATCTGCAAAAACAGTTAAAAGATTGGAATGAAGATAAAATTTAGATTCAGACAGGTAGGGATCAGGACAAGTGGAGAGAATGAAACTTATCTATTCAGCAATAACAATATCTGTTTTATTGTATGGCAGAGGAATTTTCTGGTGTCAACAGCTCACAAAGGATCTTTCTCTCAAAAAGACAAGAACAGCTTTAATTGTTTCTTTGTCTTGTTAAAGATTTGGAATTCATCAAAGATAAAAACTGAGAAATGCGTAGGTAAAGTGTTGAGAAACTTTCTTTACTAAAACAAAAGACGTAAACTCTAAATATGACCCAGTACTGATTTGACTGTAACTACGAAAGCGATAAGGAGGAAGAAGATTTAACCAACTCAAAAAGATTCAATTTTTAAGCAAACCCAGTTCGTGAAATGGAAGATAAGCATTACCAGATTTCAAATGAGCGACGAAGAATAGGTTCCGTCCCACTTTCAAGTTCTTGACTTTCGTCTTCTTTCGTCGTTGATAGTGTCAATTGCTGGGCTTGGTACTTGACAATCCTCCATTCTATTAAATGCTTTTGTAAATCGCTCTCGCTCTTCAAAATTTGAAATTTCAGACTTTGGTTCTTTTTGCTAAAGCTTGAGAAATTAGAATAGTTCCGAAATGGTTAGATTCGTAGTTCCTATATTCTCTCACTCTTTTTGCTCTTTTGAAAATTTTATGAATCTTAAAATGCCAAGATTTGAATTATTACAGAGAGGATCAATTCATTGTCTGTCCCCAAATAAACCAAACAAAAACCAAAGTTTCCGGATTTGCTTTGGTTTCAGATTTTCAACACTCATTTAACAAACAATCAACCATACAAATTTTGTACAATCTCAAGATGCAAACAGAAGGAAGGATTATAGTTTTTTCTTAAGAACCATTCTCCTCCATAGATCTAAGCATGCTCGTTCCATTTCCATCTTCGTCCCGCCTCCTGAAGAACCTTAGCTCTCGCTTGGCTTGCCTTAGCTTCATCCTCAACCCAAGATCTGCATTTTTCATTCATCTCATACATTTTCCTTAAAGATCAAAACTTTACAATAGGGTCTGTTGATACCATTACCTGAGAATTCGAAGAGCTTCGACTTCAGCTTCCAGGACAGTTCTTTTATCAAGCAGAGATTCAAGTTTAGCTTGTACCTCACTCAGCATTTCTTGCAACTCACTCTGCTCAACCAGATAAACAGATTTATCAGTCGTTAGCTTCTCAGACATCTCCTCAATCTCTTCTCTCAACCTATTAACCAACTGCTTCTGACAATCTATGGCAGCCTTTTCTTTCAAACGCTCCGCAAACCACTTCTCCTGAGCGGTTTTCTCTTCCTCTAGTTCACTAACACTGGAGAGTCTCAGCTCTTCCATCTCAACTCCTCGAGATCTCTCTACCTGAAGCAACTCATCCCAAAACTGCCTTATTTCGCCTTTCTCTAGCAACTCGGATCTGATTTCTTCCATCTCAGCCTTCTGCAAGAAAGACTCTGCCTCTAACCTCGATAGCTCGGCTGATATCGCTTTCGCCATTTTACCGCTTGTTAATGCTACAGCCGCTTGTGCTTTTGTAACAGGCCTATTCGGCTGAAACCGCTTGATCCTACCTGTAAAGTTGCTAGTTTATAAGTCTACAATACTCACATCAACAATCCAACGAAGAAAGAGAAGGTCAGAATTAGAGAATGTACCAAAAACGTTTCTGATTGTACTCTTGTCACCAGTCAAGAAGTCCAAGAAGAATCCGAGGGCCATATCTGGATTGATGTTCTTCGTGTCTATATAGTCTACCTTTGTCCTAGATACCTGGACTGCAAACAAGTCAGGCTTTTTAAGAGATAAAGTATCTTATAGATGTTGCAAATTATATCACAAATGTTGAAACTTTATCAGACCTCTTCCATGGTTTCTGGATGGAAATCACACTCCAGTTGAGCTTTCCAGTTTACCAAATCGAGTCTGGAAACAAAACTGCAGCCACCGTATATGTTAAAAACAGTTAGAAATCAATGAACAAAGAAACAATTACAAAGCAGACTGAAGAAATGTAAATATACATTTTCACCTTTCAGGATAAAAATTAGCGTTTTCCGAGTTTCGAGAATCTTCCCCGGAGAGCTTGCTGGAAGTAATGCCTGCCTCAGCCAAGGCTGAAAGGAAAATGGAAGAAGAAAATCAATCACAGGCATGGAAAATTCAATAGAAACAGATTACTAAACCGAAGTAGAATGTCCATATCGATTTTTACCTTGTATGTACTCGAAGTCAGGGTCTTTAGTATTCACATCGTCAAATGCAGGAATGGAAGAGCCAGCTAAAGCTACTGCAGGCACAATCTTGTGTTTTGGGTTTCTAATAGCAAAGAGGAACATTTTTATATGAGTCACAATCACACAAGAGAGATTTATCATATTTTTAACTTTAAGAACTGTCATTTACCTTTCTAGTAACAAATTTGAACGAACTAGCCATCTAGCATACTCTCGTCTAGTACACAGCTCGTCTGCCACTACATCGTCTTCAATTATCTGAACAACTTAATCACAAGTGACATGTTCATGATCAAGGCTCATATAGCATACAAGTTGTTGCATGAGAGCAAGGTTCTCGAAATAAACCTTTAGTTTCTTTAAAACTGCTACTGCTTCTAGTTGAGCAGCATCCAATGAAACGGGAGTGGTGACACGGTGAGCTTTTACGGTTGACGCTAAAGTAAACAGCAGAGAACAAGAATCAAAGACTTGCTTGAGCAATTATGAATACTTTAAAAAAATTGACTAAAACGAGAACGTACTTGTTGTGTCAACAGTATCTGAAACGTAGTCAACGCTTTCAGAATCTGCCTCCGAAGCAGAAATCTTCTCATCAGTGAAAAGAGAAGTCGTTGTTTCACTCTCTTCATTCTCATTCTGATCCGAATCCACACTTATGTAATGCAATGGATTACTAAACCTAAACCCTGTCAAAGAAACACACAAAAAAAAACCCGGAATCTCAGGCTTGGGAGCTTTGGATTTTGAAATCAAAGAGCTGAGAGAAAGTTTTGACCTTTTTTCGAGATTGAGAAGTAAGCAACAGTAGCGAATAGAACAGCAAGTGACGATCCAACACCAGTGATCACAACATTCCGCCACTCTAAACTCAGAAAAATCAAAAATTCCAAATCAAATTGAGAAAGATACTAACTTTAATGAAATTCTTCAATTAGAAGAAGGCATTATTGTATGAGGAAAATGAGAAAGATGCTAACTTTTTTTACTTTTCCAGTGAGGAAGAGGAGGGTCGTCTTCATTAAGAGCCCAGCCACCGTATTTGTCTTTGGAAGCTTGAGAGACCCATGAAGTCCCGGAGAGAGACGCGACGACTCGGAATCTCGGCGGTTTGAGAGAGGGAGCGAGTAATGGGAGAGTGAGACGATGCCGTACAAGTAAAGGAGCAGATTTCGGGAAGATGAAGGACGAAGTTGGTGACTTTCTAATCGAAAATGTGCACATTTCTAGTCTCAAGTGAAACCCGAATTAGGGGTTTTTTTCTCGTTTTCTTTTCTGGGTGGATTCTCCGATTCGAAGAAGCACCAACAAGGGGAAGGTAGAAAAGAGATGCTTCTGCTAGGGGTGGGCATTCGGATTATCGGGTCGGGTTCGGATCGGGTATTTCGGGTTTCGGGTATTTCGGTCCTAAGAGAAAAGGATCCGTTCGGATAATTATAAAATTCGGGTCGGGTTCGGTTCGGTTCTCTTCGGATTCGGGTATTACCGGATATACTTTTCGGATCTAAAAATACTTTCGGTTTGGAGTAAGTTCCTTTGTTTTAAACAAAAATTGACCTGATAACCTGTTACTTCAAATGAAATCCGAACAAATAAAAAAACAACCATTCAACTTGATTCAACCTAAGAACAAAATACAAATCATTCTCGTCCAAACACTAAAAACCAGCAACACAAAAGTCATTACCAAAGTGATATCATTCCATAACACAACCAAATGAAAATAAAGAAAGAAATTCAAAGCAATCAAATGAAAAGAAAGAAGAGTGGTGAGTCTCAAAGTCCAAAACGCGTTGTTTCTCCGTGTCCATGTCTCATTGACATCTTTGATTGCCTGTTACAACAGAAACAAATCAAGTCAAAAACACGGCACAATATAGAAACCCAATAACTTAAGTTGTTATTAATCATGTTACCTTTGAACTTTGAGGACCATATCCACTTCTAGTTCTAGTTGGGTCTAGGATACACTGAAAAAGATATATAAAATCAGAATGTTAGGATATAAACATCAATCATGAAATGGAAAACCGTAAAATGAACTTACTTTTCTGGAGTTCATCCTGCAATGTAACATCAGCAAGCATCTCCGTGTTTGAAACAAATGTTTTCTCGCCTAACTTAATCTCAGCCTTCATCCACTGCTCAGTACACATCAAGACCTCAACCATGTAATGAGTTAAACAACTTCGATACGGATCAATGATTCGGCCACTAGTGCTAAAAGCACTTTCAGATGCAACAGAGGACACTTGCATAGCAAGAACATCTCGAGCCATTTCTGATAAAATTGGGAACTTCCCTGCATTTACCTTCCACCAAGATAAGACATCGTACTCTGTTCCAAGCAAAGTATTAGGATTTTCAACTTTGTCACTCAGATAAATATCCAACTCAGACCGTTCATCTTCAACGCCTAAACCACTGATCATATCCTTATAAACTTGATCCATCCTTTCATACCCCTGTTCATCATTCACAAAATCCATGTTCTCAGAGCATGAACCATGGCCACCGGAAGTTGATGCTTGATCCGTCTGTGATGGTGTGACAATGGCCTCCTTCTTAGACCGAGTGCTATACTCAGCAAACAGAGATTTCATAACTTCAGTGACTGAAGTATACATCCATTTAGCTTGTGCAGTATCTTTGCCGTAAAGTCTTTCAAAGCATATCTTAGCAAACTGCATTTTCTTGCTCGGATCAAGGACACTAGCAACAATCAGAAGCCTATTGATGTTCTTCACTCCATCCCAATATTTGTCAAACTTTCCTCTCATGTCGTCAGCCTTTTCACTCAACTCTCTGTCTAAACTATTGCTCAAGTTCATCAGATTCTTCTCTATAGTAACTATCTCAGTATAGCACTTGTAGGAGCTAACCGAATTAGACGCTGAGACGATCAACGTAGAATTGTAGAAGATGATCAGAAACCTTACTAACCTCTCCACTGCATTCCAATCAACTTCAGTAGGCGGACCAATCCTTTTTTGACCATTCTCTTGTTCGAGAAAGTAATCATTGTATAGCCGATCTTCAGCTTCCATTTTATCAAATGCCTTCCTGAACTTAATAGCTTGTAGCAGCATCAAGTATGTTGAGTTCCACCTAGTTTTTATATCCAAAGGCAAACTCCCTCTAGTCACCTTGGCATTATCAGCACGGCTATCAAAAGTGTCGATCCTATTAGTAGACGCCCTCACATACGTCACGGCATTCCTAATGGCACACACATTATCAACTAACTCTAGCAATCCTTCCTTGACAATTAAGTTGATAATATGTGCACAACACCTCATATGCATAAACTCTCCATCTAAAACCAATGCCTCATCGCTCACTAAGCTGAATTGGGTCTGAAACCTCTTTAGGGCAGATGTATTGGCGGTGGCGTTGTCCACCGTGATGGTGAATATCTTCTGTATTCCCCATTCAGCCAAACACTCCATAAGGACTCTTGTTATAGTGGTCCCTTTATGATCCGTGATGTACTTGAACCCGATGATTAGCTTCCTCATTTCCCAATTTGCATCAATGAAATGTGCTGTAATCACCATATAGCTAGCACCTGTTGCTTGAGCCACCCATATGTCAGTAGTAAGTGACACTCGCTGCTTGTTAGCTGCAATCCAAACTTTAAGACCCGCTCTCCTCTCCTCATACATCTTCACAATGTTTCTGGTAGCAGTTCTTCTTGAATGCGGTGTGTAGAGATTAACTCGACTACAGAAGTGTCTCCAAGCCATGCTTTCAATGAAGGCAAGTGGCAATTCTCCTAACACTAGCAACTCATCAGTCGCCACTTTGAAGATATCCTCTGAAACCTTTGCTTCCACCAATCGTCCATCCTTAGTAACAGCTCTCGTATCTGCAGACTTACTTGCTTCAAATGCCAACAACTTCTTGCAGGTTAACATATGCTTCCCCAAGTTAGAAGTCCCTTTGGATGATGCACAACCGTAAACTCTTTTACAATGACGACAAATGCATTTGTCCTTGTCCTCCTCAAGTGGATCAAAATGTTTCCACACTTTAGACCTTTTACCCGCTGTTTTCTTTTCATTGGGTTGACCAGAAGTATCTCCATTTGTCTCCTTCCTTTTCCCTTGATTAGGTGTGGACTGTGTGGTAAAGGTTTCTGCTGTATCTTGAGTTTCACCATCGGGAAATGATGAAGAATCCATCTACAATAAAACAAAATCAGTTAGCATAAATAATAATTCAGATAGATAATACTCAATATCGAACTGATAAATAACAGAAACATGAAGACAATTAGAAAAAAAAACTAAGAAACATAAGCTAATAACCAGAAAAACAAACACAGTTACAGAGAGATAAGACACAATAACGCTAAAAAAAAAAAAACTTAAGAACAAGACAAGACAAAAACAGAAACAAACCGATCAAGAAATAAACATTGTTCAAAAATGTTGATTATTTTAATAACTAGTTACTTGTTCGTGTCTTAAGAACTAAGAACCAAAACCTTAAACTAAGAAGTATTAAATTCACATATTCACTCGAACAAGACAAGACATCAACGTCACATATTAACTCAAACAGATACATCACTTTGAATCTCATCTCATAATTAAGCAAGAAAATAAATCACAAGGGTTAACAAGATTAGTAAGTACAGAGACAGAACGAGAAGAAGATCTAAACTAACTAAGCATAAGAAGACTTGGAATTAAACTAAAAATTATAAGCTAAGCTGAGAAATAAATCCAATAACATCGAGTATCGACAATGCAAACTGAATTGAATCAAAGAAACAAAAGCTAAGTAACTGAACATAAAAACCAGAAACATGACAATACATTTTTCAAAAACAAATTATGAACTCAGGATTCGGAAAGCAAATCAAAGCAGACTTAATCAAAAGAATTAAGAGAAAAGAATTTGAGATCACCTTTGAATGATTTCTTGACGTCTCTGATGGAGGAGACGGATGAGAAAATCGAATGAGGGTTTCCAGATTTTCAGTTTGGGATTTGATATTGAAGATCATGTAAACGAAAATAGCGGGGAATGGAGATAGTGGAATCGAATCGACTAATGCAGGTAAGGGTCAGTTTAGATTGTGCGGATATTTCGGGTACGTTTACGGGTCTCGGGTATTATCGGGTATTACCCGGTACCCGAATGGAGAGAAGAAAAGGATCCAAATGGGTATTTTTCAAAATCGGATCGGATCCGGATCGGATATTTTCGGGTAAATATCGGGTCGGATTTTCGGATCCGGATAAAATGCCCACCCCTAGCTTCTGCTGTGATACTGAAACTAAGCTTCTGAATCATTCCGAGGGTTCCGGTTTACGTTTAATTTCCGGTATAGCTCTAACCGTCTCTGTTAATTCACTATCTACCTGGTGTTTAATTTTAGCTGGAAACTTAAGTAAAGTAAAAACGAGTGTGTGACAGTAAAAGTTTTTAAAAAAAAGATTTTGGATTAATCCATTTATTATCTGTCTTTTTATCAGTTTTTTCTGATAATTTTTTTTTATCTATAGTTTTCTTCTTTAATAGATTTAGTTTCGTTTTCCCTCTCTTCTTGTGTCACCAAATCTTTGATCCATTAGCGGTTTCGCCAATCTCTTCTATTATTAATCTAACCTGCTCTAGCTCGTTCTGATACTTTACGGCCGCAATTAGTCGCCGCTACACCTAGTGATAATTTAAGAACAATCTCAAACCAATTTTAGCCTAACTTCTCATAAAGACCAAAATTTGGACCACAACACATGAAGTCCAAAAAAATAGTATATCAAACCGTCGTTGCTGCATGAATTTGTGGAGCAAGAGATTAAGAAAATCCATAAGATTAGTATCTTTGTATTGTGAATATACGTTTACAAATTACAAGTAGTATCTATAAGTTTAATTAGGACTAAGGATAACTCAAACAGTCAAACTCTATAAGTATTGTATATATACTTTGTAATGAACGAGAGTAATATAATCCAACTTATAACTCTCATCAACTCTGTATAAGTTTTACTCTCTTTTGCATTTTATTTATTTATAATTGAGTGCTAATAACTAATTCCAAATAAATGTCAAAGGCGCATCTCAGAAAAAGCTGTAAGAAAGAAAAAAAAATCGTTATGAATAACTACATACAACTAGTACTAGACATTAAGGCTTTGAATGGGAGCTGCGTTTCTTGCAAAGGCGGTGCGGTTTTAGTGATGTTATAGTGGGGTCCACTTATTTGTCACCAATCAACAAGTTTTTGTATCTGCGGTGCGTTTTATGTAATTAAATTATTAAACAAATCAAAGTTCATTTGCGGATCATTTTTGTGAAGGAAAACTACAATCCGCTCCGCCACAGTAGTACGCATGGTTTTGGGTGTGTTTTGTACTTTTGTATGTGCGTTTTTATAGTATATTATATTTTAATAATGATAAAATTTTGAAACAAAATAATATAAATTGAGTATGTATGATATAAATTTAACTAGATTTTAAAATTATAAAAGAAAATTATATAAATTATTTATTTATTCACTAATTGTATTAACAAAATTAATTTATATCTTTCACCAATCAAACATTATTTTGTACCGCTATTATATTATAACCGCAGTTGTTCCACAAGTTATATTGTTCCGCAGTTAAATTGTACCGTTTTTTCAATTTATTTTTCCCGTACCGCTTAATATGTTGTCACCATTCATAGCCTAAATTCAATGGCTGCCTTGATCAATGTGCTTCTGCATCCTATTTTCCACATTAGCCCACTTCTTTTTTCCATCTTGACACATCAATATTTTTTTTTAAAATGAGCAAAAATAGAGAGTTAATACGTGTGTATTAACATGTATAGGTTATGGGAACAAAGGCCACATTTACTTTATGTGACAGAGACAACAACATATAACCAAATGTCTTTCTCGTTACAGTTCCTCGATTCCTTTTTATTTTTATTATTTCTTTATTTTGCTTATTATTATAACGTTTAAGCTATAATGAGAAACCCCATTGACTCCCAGCGACCTCTCGCTCTCTCTTCATTAAATAATAATCTCACAAGATAAAAGAAACCCAGAGAAAACTTCCCAAACATATTACAGAGCAAAATCACAAACCTCTTTTGTTTTTATCTGATTTCCTCTGTTTTCCCATAATGTCTTGGACTCACTATGTTCTTTTTCTGTTACTCGTTTCCCGGTGGTGTATCACCGGAGAATCATCATCGCCTGAGGTAACTGATGATGTAGCTCCAATGGAGATATCAGAAAGAGAAGCTCTTTACTCAGCGATTCAAGGCTTTGTTGGTGATTCTTGGAATGGCTCTGATCTTTATCCTGATCCTTGTGGTTGGACTCCTATTCAGGTTTTAACCCTTTTTTGTTTTGTCTTTTTTATTACAATTCTCTCTTCTTTAATCTTTGATTTATGCTTAAACCCATTTAGTTCTTCTGTAATTTTAGCCCCAACACAATTCATCTTATTTTTTTCTAAGATCCTTGAAAATAAATTGTTTTGTAGTTGTCTGAATATTTTTGTTGTTTTTCAAAGTGTATCTCCACTTTGAAACTTCCATAACCAGTAACTGAAGCTTTAACAATTCAACGTAACAAAGTGGATATACATTTACATAAAAGATCTAATTTTTCTTTCTTTAAATGTATGTTTCAATAGGTGGCTTCAATTATATATGCACATTGTTTGGCCCTACAAACAAATTCCTTATTTATTCTATCAATAATTTGAAATTTAATTTTTTTTATTTTTTTATTTTTTTTTTCAGGGTGTTTCTTGTGATATCTACAATGACTTGTGGTATGTCACGGATCTAACCTTAGGTCTTGTTCACGAAAACTCGCTTCCTTGCACCGCAAGTTTGAAGCTAAAGCCACAGTTATTCGAGCTCAAGCACTTGAAGTCTCTCTCGTTCTTCAACTGCTTCACGTCGCCGATGAAAATACCTAAAGAGGATTGGATCAACTTGGGAAGTAACTTGGAGTCTCTCGAGTTTAGATCCAATCCCGGTTTGATTGGGGAACTTCCTGAAACAATTGGAAGTCTCACAAAGCTCAAGTCTTTGGTGGTTCTTGAGAATGGGTTTAACGGGAAAGTACCGGCGAGTCTTTGCAATTTAACGAGCTTAAAACGGTTGGTTCTGGCGGGAAACTTGTTCACCGGAAAGATTCCGGATTGTTTCAATGGGTTTAAAGATCTACTGATCTTGGATTTGAGTGGAAACTCTCTCTCAGGGACATTGCCTTCGACTATTGGAGAAATGGTTTCATTGCTGAAGCTTGATCTAAGCAATAACCAGCTAGAAGGGAAGCTACCTCAAGAAATCGGAGTTTTGAAGAATCTGACACTTTTGGACCTGAGGAACAACAGAATCTCCGGTGGGTTGTCTCAAAACGTGGAAAAGATTCGATCTTTAACGGATTTGGTTCTATCAGGGAACCCGGTGGATACTGATGACATGATGGGGATAAAGTGGGAGAGTATGGGCAGTTTGGTAAATTTGGATCTATCAAAGATGGGTTTGAGAGGTGAGATTCCTTCTGGTTTAACCAAGTTGAAGAGATTGAGGTTTCTTGGTCTGAACGACAACGATTTAACCGGCACAGTCCCATCAAGAGAGCTCGAGACTTTGCCTTGTCTTGGTGCTCTGTACATCAATGGGAACAATCTATCAGGAGAGCTTAGATTCTCAAGAAAGTTCTATGAGAAGATGGGAACAAGATTTAAGGCTTCAAAGAATCCGAATCTTTGTCAGTACGAGATCGTGTCGGAATCTCAGCATTATGTTCCTCCACTTGGATTAAAGCCTTGCAAGATGAAGAAAACAGAGGGTAATTTGGTCATTCTACAGACGTTGAGCAACCTCGAGAAGGAAGATCAGTCAAGTTCATCATCAATGGGTGTGATGGTCACTAGACATGTGTTGTCAAATGGGTTCATGTGGGATTTGCTTTTGGAGCTTTCTCTTATTGTGTTATTAAAATAACTTTTTGTTAGTTTGTTTGATGGTTAATAGTACTTGATAGTATTGATGTGTTGGTTAGTTGGTTGATAGATTTTGTTGTCGGTTGCTTAAGAGAAGAAAATCAAATCTTTTTTTTGATGTAACAAATCTAGTTTAATAATTATTCTCTCAATGTCTTAATATAAAGACAAATGTGTATATGTTTGTAAGATTTTTATAATTATAACTAACAAATTCAGGATATTTTATTATTTTGACAATTCCAAGCTCTCCCAATCACAAAACACTTGATAATCATACTCAACATTTGACACTTATCCTAGAATACTCAAAATACAATAGATATTACGACTAGTTTATGAACATAAATGTTAAATAAATTCTTTTGAGTAAAGTTGCAAAGCATTAAAGCATGTATCCAAATATAGCTAACTTTGGTGTCTCAGAACTCTGTCATCGGTTTCAAACAGACAATACAAACCAAACCAAACAAAGCCTTGTATTGCCTGGAATTTTCTGACTTCTTCGTAGAGAGAGTTTAATGACTTTTACTACAGTACTAGTATTTTTTAAAGAAATCAAATTATTTTCTTACGAAATTTAAATGTAGGTACTGAGTGTCAATTAAAATGAGACGGTTTTTGGTATAGAGTTATAGACTGAAAAATCTTCTTTTTCACTTTTTACTTTTTTAGTTTCCAGTATACTTTTTACGATCATTTATAGCTCTCTTTCATAGTCTCTGTCTCATAACTCCATAATAATTCGTTTTTATTTGTTCATAGGTGGCGGCTTATGTACCTTTCTTCAGTAACTATTTACTACTCTACTCCAAAAGCGAAAATAATAATAAATGTTCTCTTGTTGTTTTGTACTCCATTGCATTGCAACTGGTTTCGATTAAATTGAAAAGATTTTAGCGAAATTAGATATCGAATTTGTTTCTTGACAAAATGATATTGAACTCACACGTTTATATTAATATCAGTTTAATTATATTCAGTTGCAAAGTTTGGTTAGGCTTCTTAACCAGTTGGTTAACTGATTGTATATATACAGTATAACACATTTTTCATTAGTTAATGAGAAGATCAATTTGGCAAAACTCTCCTTTTCTCTATGTTCAATACATAGGCATAACAACACAATTATAAGAATCAATTTATGTTTTTCTATTAGAATCCAAATAGCTTTTTCTTTTACAACCACACACACATTAATCCAAATGTTCTTGGAAGTTGGAGTTAAAAGCAATGATGACATTTCAATTAATGGTTCTTACAGTTACTATTAGCCGTACGGATAGTAAAAGTCGTGGCCAGAGGATGATTATACCAATTACTAATAAGTTAAAAAATGAGGAAAAAGTTAGAAATTTTTCCAAAAGTCAATACTACTCCATCTCTTCTGTTTTGTTTGTGTATTTATTAATATCCTCCGTCGCTTTTGTTTAGTGTCATATCCTTAACACATGTCAAATGAGTAATGACTAATGACTCATGTCACATAGGAAAGGCCTGAAAGGACTACTAAAGTCTTAACTAATGATCAAAATTTTGTTCAAATTAGTTGGTCAGTATTTAAAATTACTGTACAGAATTTGAATTGTGTGAATCGACCAAAGTTTTGTTCCCCAATATATCTGACGATGTACAATTTCCCAATATAAAATCATTTGCTTGGCTATTAATATTCGATTATATCGGGCTTTAATAAATATGGGCCGTTAAATGTCGGCCCATTTACATATCCTATCTTCTTCATTTTTTCAACAGATAGTCTTATCCTCAGTCTCTCTCTCCCCAAAACCCAAACAGCAGCCGCAAGGTTTCTCCGGCGTTACACCGGAGAGTGGTACCAATTCAATTGACTCAATGTCTGCGAATTTGAGGATTTTGTGATTCGAATCAAACTCGATTTGAATACTATAATAGCAATGTTATCGACATTGCAACCGCCGCGTTCTCTTTCTCTCCTCCCTCTCCGAAGATTCCACTGCTCCAAAACAATCGTATCCGCAGCTTCATCTTCCCCCGCGACGACCTCCGACGCTGCTTCCGTATCTCCTCCACAATCTCAGATTCTCACCACTCGTCGCTCTCTCCTCTCCGGCGAAACCACAGCTTCCGAAATCGCAAAATCTTACCTCTCCCGAATCCGCCTCACTGAACCGCAGCTCAAATGCTTCCTCCACGTATCGGAGAATGCTCTGAAAGACGCCGAAGAGATCGACCAGCGAATCGCGAGAGGTGAGGAGTTAGGTCCTCTAGCCGGAGTTATAATCGGTGTCAAGGATAATATCTGCACGGAAGGTATGCCTTCAACCGCCGCGTCTCGCATCTTAGAGCATTATCGTCCGCCGTTTGATGCGACGGCGGTGAAGAAGATCAAGGAATTGGGAGGGATTGTTGTTGGCAAAACCAATATGGATGAATTTGGAATGGGAAGCACAACTGAAGCTTCTGCCTTTCAGGTTCGTCTTATGAAAACCAAATCTTAGTCTTCTTGATGGAAAACTTGTGATGATTTAGGGCTTATCCTTCTGCAAATGTGGTTAAGTAATTGCAATTCCAAAAAGCTTGACCACAAGTAATCTTGGAATGTTGCCAATTTAGAGTCTTTTATGTGGTGTTATTAGAGAAACTTGTGATGGTTTAGGGATTGATTTTGGTTTGAAGGTAACTGCAAATCCATGGGATTTGACGCGAGTGCCGGGAGGTTCATCAGGAGGATCAGCAGCAGCTGTTGCGGCAAGACAATGTATGGTGTCACTTGGTAGTGATACCGGTGGAAGTGTGAGACAGCCAGCTTCGTTCTGTGGTGTTGTGGGACTTAAGCCAACTTACGGGCGTGTCTCTAGGTTTGGACTTATGGCGTATGCATCTTCGTTGGATGTGATCGGTTGCTTTGGCTCTACGGTTGCTGATGCTGGGATGCTACTTCATGCTATTTCCGGGTATGATAGGTTCGACTCCACGAGTAGCAAACAAGTGAGGCCTCTTGTGGTTGGTTTCTTTCCTGCATTGTAGCGAGGCAGAAAGAAAGATCTTTTCTTTTAACAATTGCTTTGTTCAGGATGTGCCTGAGTTCGAATCTCAGTTTCTTTCGGTGGATCGTTTTGAATCTAAGCCACTGAAAGGAGTGAAAGTTGGTGTAATACGCGAGACGCTTGAAGAAGGTGTTGATTCTGGAGTGAGATCTGCAACTCAGGAAGCTGCTTCTCACTTGGAAGCTTTGGGTTGTGTATTGACAGAGGTACATTTTTCTTTCAAACTCCTTTGTCTCTGTTTTGTTCTTTGTGTATAAATTCATCACTGAAAGTTCTGAGATTTATATAATTATGTTATACCATATTGACAGGTGTCTCTTCCTTCATTCTCTCTTGGACTACCAGCTTACTATGTGATTGCCTCATCTGAATCATCTTCGAATCTATCGCGTTATGATGGTGTCAGGTAAGCCCTTGTGATATGGCTTGCATGCATCAGGCAAATTATATGATCTATACATGAAAAAAGATTGATTCTTGTGTTGGATGTGAAGATATGGGAATCAAGTTATGGCTGATGAGCTCAATAAGCTGTACGAATGCTCCCGAGGAGAAGGATTTGGTGGAGAGGTACGTTTTGTTAAACGAAATTTTCAGTTCTACTCCATCATTTTGCTATAATCAAGAGACAATTCTTGCTTTCTAGGTGAAAATGAGGATTTTGATGGGAACGTATGCACTCTCTGCTGGTTACTACGATGCATACTACAAGCGAGCACAACAGGTAATTTAACCGAATCTTCAACAGCAGTCAATAGAATCTTAACCGGTTTAATGTTTCATTGTGTTACTATAGGTGAGAACACTAATTCGAAAAGACTTCAAAGCGGCGTTAGAGCAGAACGATATTCTTATTTCTCCAGCGGCTCCATCTGCTGCATACAAGATTGGTGAAAAGAAGAATGATCCTTTGGCAATGTATGCCGGAGACATTATGACGGTACAATGTTTCTCTCTTTTTCTCTGTTTTGTTGTTGTTTAATCAGATTTTTCATTATGGAAAACACAATTTGTATGATTTGAGATTGTTGCAGGTGAATGTGAATCTTGCGGGTCTTCCTGCGATTGTATTACCATGCGGATTAGTCGAAGGAGGTCCATCTGGTTTACCTGTTGGTCTTCAAATGATTGGTGCAGTCTTTGATGAGGTTTGTTTCATAAACTCTAAAACTATGTTTTTAGTGACATTTGGTACTCTGTTTCAAATGATGATTTTATTATTTGTTTTTAGGAGAAATTGCTGAAAGTAGGTCACATATTTGAGCAGACTCTCAAAGGTTCAAGCTTTCTTCCTCCATTGTTACCAAATGTAGCCTAAACGTTGAAAAGCATGAAGCGAATTAATTTGTAATTTTACTTCTATTTTTTTATAATATAAATGTAGATGCTCAATATATCATTTGTTTTTTTAATGTTCTTGCAATTGCATTCATGCACTTGTTTGTTTTTTTAGTTTGAGTCTTTTGAATGATACGGTTGTATCATTAATCTTTTGTTTTTTGATCACGTCGGTTGTATCATTATTATGCATTAGCATGATTTTTCGTCAACTATATTGAATATATACGCTCACTGTTTTATATTATATGATGCTCTGGTTGAATGTACAATTATTAAGAAAATTTGTGAAATCATCAAAATATTTCCATTTAATATTCAAAGATAAAAACAACAACCCTAAATTGTATGGATCGATATGTAAATTTGATTAACTTTTTCGTGTTCAATATCAGAACATTATTGATTTAAAAACAACAAGAAAATGATTACAGAAAACAATAGTTACAATTATAAACCAAATGGTGTATATAAATATATAATATGACGTTTCTGCTTTAATAAAAAATGTCCTCCATTGGTACGAACACGTATCTTAATAAAGAGCCACAAGCATAACACGCTTCCAAGGATTAATTAAAATGAAACTACCTGGAGCTTGAGTATAAGTATAGATCACTTTATTTTTCTATAACATTTTCAGAAGAAATCATGTGCTAACCTCTATAATCATGCAAACATATTAAAATCATGTAATCTAGTGGTCCATGCGAATATCTGTCTCCGATGGAGAATCGAAATCAAACGGCTTTCACGCGTGTGCAATGTTTGACATTTTCGTCTACTGCATGAAAGTTGCCACCTGTCACATAATTTTATAAGTATACACAATAGTTTATGGAAATGATTTATTTTGGTAATTATGAATCATGCAGAGGATTTAGATTGGACGAATTGTTAGTTGTGATAACAGAACAAAATTATGTGCTATAATAAGTATTAGTTGCCATAAATAATTTGCAGATGAATAATTAACCCATTTATTATGTGCTTGATTAATTGTTTGGTGACCCCGAATAACGCAACTAAGTTCTAATTTTCTATTGTAGCTATCTGCGTGACCAATGGTGATAAACTTGTATGTGTGTGTGTGTGTGTGCAATCCTTTTGCATGAGATCATGTAAAAACAGTTTTAGGAGAAAGAAAGCAAAAAGTTGAATGAAGGAAAATACAATCATTTTTTTGTTAAAGAAAATTGAATTACTTTTCTTTTAATTAACTAAAAACAAAGAAAACTTTTCTTCCAAAATCGGAGACGCAATGGATTTGATAGTTATTGGCACCTAACTTTTGATATATCATATGATTAACAATTCACATCATTACACAATCACGTATATATGGACATCTTTTTCTCACATATTATGTATATATACACAAAACCTATATAACAAATAACAATGTGTTTTCACAAAAAAAATGCGATTTATACATATAACATATGAATACATCTAAATTACATTTTACTATAAAAATAAATACAAACTGCATCTAGTACTAAACTTTAATAATTTAATTTTGACAGACAACTTGAGGTATTCACGTACACCATCCCTCCCACGTATGTCTACACGGCGTTTAGTAATTAATCTTTTTGTTTGTTTGGTTTTTTTCACTTAGTTGACCTTACAACTTCACAAAAAAATTACAAAACTCCATTACTTGCGCTTCACTTCTCCAGAGTCTTTGCTTTTCTTGTTTGACCGATTTAGAAATACACAAATGCGCATACTTACATATATGATATTATATATAATGCACAAAACATACGTATATAGTTCTATATGCATATTTATACAGCTCAAATCTTAGTCCTTCTGAGAAATCCCAAATCTAAACTACTATATATAAAAACACTAGCCAGACAGCTAAATCAATGTTTCCTCTTCATTCTTCCGAGCATTACATGAATCTTTCTCACAAAACCTTGTTTATGACTGTTTATTTCGTCTTGATCCTCTTGGTTTTTAGTTCCTGCAACGACGCAGCGAGGATCGGACCAATTAAGGTGTCTGAGATGGAGATAGTTCAGACGAGATCAAGATCATCGAGACAAGAGATCGTGGGATTTAGATTCAAAGGTCGTGTGTTCCATATTTTGTCTAAACGGGTACTTGTGCCGCCTTCGGGACCTTCCTTGAGGCACAATTCTATGGTGAATAATGTCAAAAACTAGTTATTATTAGTATTTATTCATTCTCATAGAGCTTTATTTTTTTTGACAATCATGATATTTGTTTATAAGATTCTTGAAATTGTATATGATGGGGATTTTGCTTAATTTTTTTCCTCTGTGTTGTTGTTTATATATTTTTTCTATTGATTTCATTCACATTTGTAATATCTCGGTTGAAATAGTTATACGTATACTAAATATGTTTGTATTTTGATCATTGCATATATCTCTTTGATAGTAAATAGAAGTATAAAATTGGATGGATGAATCTAACTTCTGAACATAGTAGAGATAGATTATGCATTTTTGAATTCAGGGGGTGATGGAACCATTATTACAAATCAGAAATCACCATGCTATATGTCTTGATCGGACATATTATAATTACTTTTTAACAAATACATAATGCAGAGCAGAGTAATATATATATATGTTTCAGCTATATGTAAGAGTATAAGAGTATGATTTCCAAGTAAAACACCACTTAAAGATCATTTCATCAGTTATCAGCTATAAGGAAGGCAAGTTTTCTTTTGTAACCCAATTGTTGGCTAAGATGCTAGTACTCCCACCATATGGACCATCATCTCCATTAGATTACACAACTGTTCCTCATGATTGGATTGCAAGTAGTAATATATGTAGGAACCATAAAAGCTGCCTACATATAGGAAAATGTATACTCACAACAACAAAACTCAGCTAGATGTCAATAATGAGTTAATAACTTTGAAATCTAGAAAGGCATAGATAGATTTCATTAACCAACATGGTAACCATCTTTTCAATGCACGCCAAGAAGATGACAAAGTAACTATTTTTCCACATCTCACATCAAATCTTTGCGAGGCCGCATCAAAATTTCCTAACAGAGAGTTATATGACAAGGAAATGAAGTTTTGGCTCTAGTTACATATGATTACTTGTGTGTTTCCTAATTTAATCCAAAGCCATGTTTTGTTGACTCACATACTCAGACCAAAAAGAGATGAATGCCAGAGTCATATTCCGATACAGAGTAGACCTGTGAAGCTGAGACCATGAAGGATTTCAAGGTCCGCATGTGATGTGATACAATTGTCGCATTTCCCACAAACCATATTCTAACCAAATTTAAAGTATAAGAAACCTGCCATCATCAATAATATCACTAATCTTACATTATCGTGAACCACATTTGCCGACATAACTTAGAAAAACAGGGATTCATATAATACATCACTTCAAAATAACAATTTCCAAATTCGAGATATCCCATAATTTAAACAAAAACCGAGAATCAAAAACACATTCTTAAAATCCTTGGTCGAATATTACCTTCTTAATTAAATATACTAATTAGTTTTTTTCCCCTTTAAACCCTTAGAAAATACACACTGAGCTCAGGCCCACCACTTGACCCATCAGGATTCATCATGTAAAAGGCCTCCGAATCTCTCGACCCGATAACCCGCTCGAACCGGGCTCTCATGTACATGAGCTCCCCTTTCTCGGACCCCACCGCTTCATTCCCCTCTTCTTCCGCCGTCGTCGTCGCCGCCGGCAAAACTCCGGCACCCATCGAAATGGGTCCCACCGCCTTCAACACTCTCCACTCCGCCTCTCCGCACTCTTTCCTCGCCGCGTAACCGCATTTTTTGCCATTACAATACGTTCGCCACGTGGACTCTTGTAGGAGCTTCTTCGAATCCGTCTTATACGCCGCCGTTTCGAGAGCGATCCTCACTAGCCCTGAAGCCATTTCCTTGACGAGAACGCTAGTCGGAGTAGGCAACTGGATCAAAACCGCGGGTAAACGGGTCGGGTCATCTTGTATTGCGAAATACACGTGTCCACGACGGTTCCCGAATAACGTACCAACAACCCGGAAACCCAAACCCGAACTAGAGAACCCGAGCGCATAACGGATCTTCTCCATAGTCTTTTTCTTTTTCTTCTTCATGATCTGCTGAGTGTCGAACTGGTCGGGTCGGTTTGTGTCGGAGGAAAAGTTGAAACGGGTCAAGATCTTTTGTTCGTTGTTGTTGTGGTCGTCTTCTTCTTCTTCTTCTTCCTCGTCGTCTTCTTCTTGAACCTTTTTCTTCTTCCAGTTGAAGTAACGCTTAGAGAGAGAGAATGAAGAGTCGAGAGATGTGGTGGAGAGGATTGACTTCATCGCTTTAAAAATGAAAATACAAATCTCTCTTTTATAAGAATTGAGACTTGAATGGAAGTTTGGAGTGGACATCTTGTGCTCTCTTATAGTGGTCTTTAATGGAGTTTTCAATGTTGTAGGGGCTGATTTGATTTAACTAAATTTAAAACCTAACCGGTTTGTTTGTTTCAACAATTATATATTTAATAATGTTTTGAATATCGTATTCTTTGTATTGTTTCGTCTATATGTATTCAAATTAAAGCGTTAAATATATGTGAAACTAATGTTCATTATTGAATGATTGTATAAATTTTCAAATGGTAGAAAATGTAAAGATATGGCTCTTGACTAATCTACTAATCATCCAACTAGATAGTAACCAAACAAAAGATGGTCTGGTCTCCTTGGACTTTACTAGTTTTCAGATTATCATAAACTGGAATTAGAAGTATTGGTCTACAGATCTTGCAAAATATATACTTTTTATATTAAAATGATGTTAGAGAAAGATGATGTGAAAGACTAGAGGATAGAAAAAGAAAAGGTTGCGACAAGAGAGGAAGGTGAGCAGCCACCACCTAACCGTAGATCAAAGGCTCTCTACATTGGGACTATGAATAAGACAGATCATACACCAAATCAACATTTACATTTTGTCTTTTTTACACACACATAAAACAAATGTACTTATTGCATAAATATAATATAAGCTAGTTTCTTATGTTAGGAGAGCAAGTAACAATTTAATTAGACTTATATGTTTATTTTTTGGGGATTTATTTTTTTGGTTTGAGATGTTATTCGAGATTTAATTAACACTATTAAAAGTCGACACTACATCAAATATGCAACACTACTGTTTACATAAATTTAAGGAGACAAGAAGGTGTGCGACTAATCACAATCAATGTCTCATCTATGGTGGGGGCTACATAGTTGACAATTTAGTCTTTTTTTTTTTCACTCGAACATATATATCACTGTGTTACAAAATCATACCATAAATACAATGTTTCTTGTTTGCAAATTAAAACCTAATATCTATATTGTTTTAGTATATTCGAGGTCCTCCAAACGTAGAAACCATGTGTCTTTTACGTAAGACAAAGCTTTTTTTATGTATATTTATATAAGATGAGTTTCTAATTCAGTACTTCCTCCCTTTCTTAAAAATGTATTTTCTAAACATTATTTATTATTCTACAAAGATAATTTTTTTTTGTTTTTTAATGTACTTTTTCAGTTTTCAAGAAATATTATTTGGATTTGTTACACTAATGATTGAAAATCAACTTCTTTTAATACGTGTGTAAAAATTAGAAAATTTATCTTAAAAAAACGGAAGGAATATTATGGATGTCAACGATTTAATACCTATATGAAATTATCGCAATTGTGATTGATGGCACATTATTCCCTCTTATAGACCGTTTTTTACTCTTTATTGTTGAATTAGTTTATGTGTAAAATACAACTTTATATTAAATAGTCCTTGGACCTATAAAACTTTTGGGAAATCAACTTTAAAAAAAAATTACTTTATGTTCTTAAACATCAGTTTATATAGGTTAAATACGGACCACCTAATTATTCGTTTTTTTTTTGTAAAGAAAACACATATTTATGTGTAATTGAGAGAATTTATATGAGACACATCATTGTCACATCTGAGGAAGAACGATAGGACAAATTTCGGCAACATCGAACCAATCAAACGTTGTCTATGTGTTGTTTTTTCCACACACCTACACTACACCAACAAGCCTGCGTTTCTATACTTATTTATTTTCATACTCATTTATAAGAATTTCAAATTTGACGTCCAAATCCTTGACTTTGTGAGTATCATTATGCTGAAATTTGGTGTACTATTTTTCTTTTTCGGTGTTAAATTATGAGTAAACTAAAAGAAAGCATGCGCGCTTTATCTCATCAGAGCCTAAAAGAGATGTTAGTTATATTGAACTAGTATTATTTTTAATTTCTTAGAAACTCTTTGGGTATTGTCGTATTGATGATGCTCTTGGAGCCTTGGTCCTTCCTGACTTTGAAAGAAAAAAAATCAATTTTACTATGATAACACAGTTCTAAGTATACATCATTCTATGCATGGGAACTAGATTTCTAATAAGTTCACATAGTTTATTCCCGGAGTGGGTAGGACTACTGTAAGGAACTATATACTGGTTTATGTTTGTATACTATTGGTATGAAAAAGGTAACTTTATGTATTCTACTATATATTGTCATTCACTGTTCTTCCACAAAAGAGATCACTATTTTAATTTATCTTTCATTTTACTAGCCTTTTTCTGGAAAATATATAAGTTATTGTCCGATTCTTGTTCCGTTCAAAATGTTAAACAATGGATTAAAGGATAGCACTCTAGAGGGGGAAAATAATAATATACTGTCTCTTGTCACTAGTAGCTATCTTCTTCAAACGTCAGAACTAAAGCATGCATAATTCAAAAACTTTTATCTATAATTTTGTAAAGGTACACTGTTTTAGCTCGAGTTGATGACAGTAAAAGTTGGTCGGCTCTCTCTGCCGTCGTCCATAATTCTAAAGCACTGACACTGTACTTCATAACTCGTAAGTGTCATTACAATAAAATTAATAGGTTTCATTATATAAATAAGTCGGAGAAAGAGTACATAAATAATGTTTTTTCCTACTTTATAATTTGTTATTTTTTCTTGTTACAGCTAATTTTGGAAACTGGGACCGACCAAACTTCATAAATCAACTACTGTTGTACTAATGCAAACAAAACTAACCAAATACGACTTTTATGAAAAACACATCTTTACACATCGTAAAAATTATGCATGTTAATATATCCAAAGTAAAATTGGTTACCCGTTTTCTACTTTTCTAGACGACCAAGTAAAAAATATAACTATAAAAATGTAATCTTTATAGATGAAGAAAATGACTCCTCGCATATTCGTTAGATTTGGGTATAACAGAAAGGTTTGGCTTAACGATACACCAAACAAAACAAACAAACAACATCGAATGTTGTTTCATTGGCAACAAAAAAAACTAGTCAACAAATCAGATACTAGTGCACTTGCAACACATCGTGAGTCTTCTAATGTTGCGTGAACTGAAAGTTTTCGAATTTATTTGTACCTTAGAATCTATTTATTTTTCTTGATGTAATACAAGAATGGTTTCTCTGTTTTAAATATGAAAGATTAAAGACGAAATTAGCAAGTAGTAATGTCTTATTTTCAGTTTCAAGTAAAATAATTTGTAAACGGTTTACCAAAACAATAAAAATAAATAAATAAATTGTAACGAACTTCATGAATTGACAGGAGCTTAATTGTCCAACTACTAGTTCATCAAGTCGTTTGCGTTAAAATCCAAAACCAAGTAAAACTAATTTTGTTTGCGTTGAAAATACTAAAACATTTTTGTTCTTTTTATCAAAAAAAAAAAAAAAAACTTACCTTTCCGTTATTAGTAACAGTATTGTAATTCAAGAATGTGATTTTTAAAATTTTATTAACGTATCACATTATAGACGCCAATTCACTTTAGTAAAACTGACAGTTGCCAAATGCATGAAAATTCTTTACCTAACTAAAGTTATGGTACCACATTTCATATCTTATGAGGCACTTTCACGCGGTTCACGTGAGAAAGATCACGACTTCGCATATGGGATATGGCCCATTCCGGTTTCAAGCCCTTCCAGTATTCGAATTTAGTTTTGGGCCATGAACTTTTCAGTAAACGCTGCAACTAGCATCCACGATAAGAAATAAAAAGTACAAAACTTTGAAGATGGACACGTTGTAGGTTTTAAGTTGCTTAGGAATCTTTGTTTGACGTCGCTGCGCTCAAGCTAGTGTAATCCGCATGCATGCTAGCCGCAGGCCCGCAGCGTTTAGGAAAAGAACATTTAGGCCTTGGTTCCAGTTTCGTTGGGTCGCTTTCGACTCGACTCTTAGGCTAAAACAATTAAGAGCAAGTATTTGCCTGTGACAAAAAGAAAGCTAGTAAACTATAATAACTGGTTCATGTTTGCTGTGTTGTCGAATCGAATAATACATGAACTTGCCTTCAACGTTGCATTTGCATGCGACAATAATTGGTTCCTATTTTTTTCTGCTTTCCTTGTATGAATTGTAAATTTTTATCAGCTTAGGCGATCATAGTGAATATAGAGTACATGATGCTTGGAAATTTACTTTATAACATTGTAAAGGAGCCATAGCTTTAACTTTTATATGAATGATGTATATCTAACATGTGAGCTAAAAACATAGTGGAAGTTCTTACATGAATGTATATAATATATTGCTATGCTAGGTTAACGTTTTTTTTATATTTTGACAATATCTGCGATAACCAAACATTCTAGCTGTTGACCAAAAAGATAGAAACACTAAGAAAAGTAGAATAATTCTCTTATCTGTATGGAATATTTGTACTGTACGAGGATTTGATTTTTATTCTACTCCACAAAAAGTAGTTTTAAAATTTTAAAACATTCATTTAGAAACAAGAAAATACACTACTAGAGTATACATTTGTTAAACCATAGTATCGTATGTTTGTGTATTTGTCCCGACATCGTCTACAAGACTACAAATATGGATAACGCGTCACTGCCTCCTGTGATCTCCTCTTGATATTTCGTTCTTACTCATCTTCGTACGGAAAATATGGATAAAGTAATTGAACATAGATAGTGGAAACTCCACCAAGAAGTTGTCAAATGCGTTAGAACTTTGGATATTTTGTTTTTAGTAAACTTTCCACAATTGTTTAAAAAACATTTGCACGTTGGCAAGGAACAAGGTTAATTGTTCTTAATTTCACAAAAATGTTTCACGGTATACTAATTACACCTGAAAGTACAAGTGAACAAGTGATGTGCTTGTTGCAAGTGGCTCGTTAGTGCTCCTATCGACGAGCTCGAGCGATCAAGCACAAGTACCACCAATCAATGACGCGTAAGCCTTTCTAAATAAGAAACTGTCCTCCAACCAATTTTGGA